TTTGTTTGTTTTTTTTGTTTTAGTGAAGCCTCTTGACTGTTTACATTTACAGACAAAACCACACACAGTGCGTTCTGTATCCGTATCAGCATTAAACAATCTTTAAATGTCCCTTAGCGGCCTGTTTGGATCAAATTATATATCTGCTCTAGCATGCCTCCACGTCCTCTGGACAGCTGCAACACTACAACACCGATTCAATGTCTGTCTAAGCAGATGTTACTTGTTTAATGGATAGACACATTTTAATTAAATTATCAATTAATGTACAACATCATACATCATTTGTTTGTTAATATCCCTACTTCTGATAATCTATAGAAAAGTTCAGAAAGTTTCTTCTGCAACTTGTAGAGCAGTGGTCTCCAACTCCAGGCCTCTAGATCTACTACCCTGCAACTTATAGGTACGTCCCTGCTCCAGAAAACCTGAATCAAATGAGTGACTCATTACAAGGCCTCCACCAAAACTTATTGCATGGTGAGAAACTAATCAGGCATTTGATTCAGCTGTGCTGTTGTAACAGAGATGTTCTGAAAGGTTGCAGGATGGTAGATCTTGAGGCCTGCAGTTGGAGACCACTACTGTAGAGGCTTAAATCTAGTCACATAACAGCTTTAAAGACTATTTAGGTGAACGACCAAGTGAGCAGGTATGTTTAAAGTGATCAGATAATTTACATTGTCAATGTCTACTGAAACTTAAACCTGGATTACAATGTAAATTGTAGTTGACAATAAATAAACTGATTGATTGATATATCTAAGATAACACTTAGACACCTATTTTTATTTTCAAAATTCCAAGGATACACAAACAGCATTTGTTTGACAGAACTCTAGAAAATGTCCCATTCTTACAGAAGGTCACAGTACTGATTTAAAATATCCATCACAAACATTTGATAATCAAAACTGATAGGCAGACTTGCCCCCCAAAACCTTCATGATCAATAATAATACAGTAGCAGCCATTCAAAATGTCCCATCTCCCAGTCAAATGCCAGCCGAATGGCAGCCAACAGGAGTGACCCCCTCCTTCTCCCGGGCATGCATTTTTTTTGCTCTGACTCCAACTTTTCACTGAATTACAGGGTCTGACCAGGAGATCTCTTTAGGTCTTAATATCCACAAATCATGACAGAAAGAATATTTTAGTACCAAGATCAAAGTACAAAGACCAGCCAAGGACGCATCAAGGAAAGTAGGGAAATTTTGAATTGCTACTACTGTATGTGTAAACCCTTCTGCATTCAGTCCCATTCTAACCAGTTATTGTTTTATTATTGCACCAGGCTTTAAATCAGCCATAAACCATGACATACGTATATCTTGCAGTGGGCTTACAGTGTTGTGGTGCTAGCTGGCAGACTGCAGTTGCATCAAGCTAGGTTCAGAGATAAAGCAAGACAAGGAAAAACACACAGCAGTCTCTTATTTCCTGGTTTAAATTGCAGAAATCTTTGTCACAGATGAAAATAGTCCACCCTATTTTCCAAGGGAAAATGGGCGGGAGGGTGCAGGGTCTTATTCTGCTGCTCAGATTCCAAGCACACCGAATTCTGTCCATTCTCACTCAGCCAGCCTGTCTATCAGTTAGCTGTTTAGCTTCTCCACAACAAGCCATCTTCCATACAAAACTTTATTTTTTTTTATCATGTCTATATCTCAAGGGATTAGCACCTCTTCTGTAGCACCTCTCCTGCCCTCTGGAAGGCTTTACAGGCGCCTCTGTACCAAGACAACCAGGTACAGGAACAGCTTCCTCCATAGTGCACATCTATCACTCCTAAGCTCTGCCAACTGACATCTGAACAATCAGCGACAGACTGTATCCTCATACACACAACAATAACACAGATTTTATCCTCATTCACATAGTAATACATGTACAAAAAAACATTTACAACTACCTACCTGCACCTAACTGGTTCATAGTCTGTATGCATAGCCTGTATACTTTTATCTTATACCACCTGATGCAATGCTGGATGTATGCAATTTGCATTTTGTTGCTTGTAGTTGTGACATTTTGCAATGATACTGTAATAAAGTTTAATTTATTCTATTTTATTGTATTCTAATTATATTTAGCAAAAGCAAACAAATAACAATATTTAAAACATGGTAAGCTGGATCTTTATTAAACAAAGTCACTACAGCAAGATGAGCAAAAGATTATATTCAGCTCCTGACTAATTAATTATACCCCCAGATGTAAAATCAGAGCTCCATACGAAAGTAAAAAGGGCACTAATGCAACCTTCTGCATTGTTAACATATAGAAATAATTATGCAAAATAGGGCACTGCTGTAATTCTTGTTATTAACTGCTGATACAAGTTGAGCTAATTAAGTGTCAGTTGACCAGAGGGCCATGCAATCAAGCAGAAGGCAAAACAGATGCTTTGACAAAGCTTTAAATTTGGTTCACCAACACTGATGATTACACAGTGATAGACATATTCATCTCAATAAAGTTAGAGAGCACAACCTCTGGATGAAGGGCATGCATATATGCATGCAGAAGTGTCAAAAGTACTTATAAGACTAGAAAAAGATTTTCAGAATAAAAGCATCAATTCAACTCCTTTTATGTAAGAGCAAAAATGCAATGTTCTTCTTACATTGAAGTTTCAAATAGCATCGTAATTAAAATGGAACATGAAACATAATCAACATGTACATTTTAAATACAATAAAGGGCGAATTGATGAGGAATGTTTTATGTCTCAGAATCTGATTAATTAGCTGTATTGTTTTTTTGCTAATTGTCTGCATCCATGTCATTATCAGCAATATTTTATATAAAAAAACAGGTTCCAAATTTTCTTATCATGCTCTTTATTTTTTTCTGTTTTTTTGTAGCTGGTATATAATGTCATTATCAATGTGCAAAGTAGCAACAAGACAGTTTTAAGACAGTAAGGGAAAAAAAGTGAGGATTGCTTCTTCAACTTAGATGGGTAAAAGTCTTCAGAAAAATAAATACTGCAGTAAATTACGGATACTGCAAAAAACTATCCGAACCACCTCTACAACCAAAACCTCCAGCCTGGCAAGGCAATAAGTTTACAGGTAATAATCTAGAAATGTTGTCCTCTATTATAAATTCCGTGTATAACTTAGGCATTTAACCTTACTTCTTTTAAAAACATGCTGTTTTGGAATTTCATGGAATTTTCCCTGCAAGAAAAAGAGAAAATACTTGAAAATATAATCTGATCTTGCATTTTTTTCAACAACAGCAGCTCACTGCAGTTACAGCACAAAGCAGTCAAGTAGGAAATTGGACTGCAATCTGTTCAATCAGCAAGACAATTGACAATAAAGTTTGATATGTGAGATATCCAGCTGGCTGTCCAACGGCCAGATTGTTGATTGATTGTTGGTAATAAAATGATCTTCCAGTCAAGAATTTCCCTGCATCACTTCAATATTTGTTTGACCTAATAAAACATATACAAATCTGTCAACTAATTGTTCTACATTAAAAAAACACACACCACACATTGCTGATTGATAATATGATTATTGAACTAATCTTTACTTAAATAACTGAATGTATCTATGCATCTATATGTGGTGGCAGAAGTAAAAAAGCACCAGGATGAGTATAAAATTGTATTTCAATCGTCTTTGATTAAAGTTCCCATGGTGCCAGATATGCTAGTCTGAATATTTATAAATATTTGGATATATTGGACTTTTCAGTGACAACCATATGTTTTAAAAGAAACAAAGAATATATGGAGTGCATTGTGTCAATTAAAATGTCACGGTAATGTCAGAGGTTGACTCAGAAGACTGGTTTAAGCTAATATGAAAAGCAGCAATAGGTTAACAAGTAAGGTTTTCAGATTATAATCTTTGAAACCACAAGACTTCAAAATTTAAGGGAGATAAATACCAACACAAGTGGATAACAACTGGTGCCACTCCTGCTATATAAGTATACATAACTCAAAATTGCTTTTAAAAAACACTGTGGGGGTGACTGTTTTGTAATGGCCTTCACAGCCACCAGATCACATTCCGATAGGGAGGACCTTAGGCATGAGATTAAGTAAATAAGTCATGTCATGGATGTGCTATCATGCCAATGTGGAAACAAGGTAATGCTTTTATTTAATTTTTTTAAGATCATCTCATCCGTTACTTTTAAAGTGGAGGATGTTATTTTTCAGGGTGGATCATCAAAATTAGTGGTCCTCATAATTGTCAATCATTCTGTTGATACGTTTACATAAGGCCATCCTAGATGCTTATACCCATTTTCAATTAACAGGGGTAAATCTGACATAGCCAAAAAATTGCAAATCTTTTTTTTTGGTAAGCTTGTATGAGCGATGTAAACAGTAACTTTTTTAAACAGAGCATGGGTTAACCCACACCTCACCTTTAAGACAAACCTTGTTATGTTGCTCTAAATTATGTGAGGGTGATAGATGGTATAGCTTAAAAATTAAAAGCCAAATTCCTTACAGGAAAATAACTACTTGTCCTTTAATGTCTACCTTCAAAGACATTTTCAAGTTGTTCAAAGGGATGACACAGTAGCTCGATAACAACCAAGGCTATCTTTGCAAACCACAAGGTGAAGAAGATGCACAGAAAAAATTGAAACAATATCCAAAACTCACTGTTAGAGAGATATACTGGAATCACTAAATTTCCGTAACAACCATTTATTTTAGCGCATTTTTACCAAGGGGACTAATTAGTGAGGGGGGCACTGTAGTTCATCTGGCAGTGTATTTACCAACACTAAAATGTTTTTTTCCGCCCACATGCTATATTCTCTGCCATACAGTATAAATCCAATTGCTTGTCTGGCTCATAAAACTTTTGTGTTGAATGAAAACTGTGGCCTGATCATAAAACAAGGAGTTTAGTCGCTAAACATTTAAACAGTCTCCTCCTGCAACACTGCAAGTACTCAATTAGCGCAATCTGTCATGGCAATCAAAAACGAATCAAACATCTATTCCCTTTACTGCTGATAGGGGCAAATCTTTATAAATGCAATGACTTTCTACTTAAATTACAACAGGATAAAACTAGGGCATTTAAAACTCTGAGGGATTTCAATTGTAGCGTAGAGAAAGATAAATCTTCTCAAGAGAATAAATAAAAATGGCTTCAGAGATAAACTTGCATGTTTCTAACCTGGACCCTTGACTCTAGTAATCAATTTTAAATCAGTATTGATGTATTTTATATATAACAGCACATGCAAAAAGAGTATTATGTGAATATATCATAGGTGGGAAGTGATTCAATTTTTTTTTATCTATTTAATTACAGGAAGTGTAAATAGTTAATTGCTTTTAATCTCATTTTAGTCAAAACCCATATGTTTACAAATTAAATCAACTTTTCAAATCAAAAACAAATTTGATCCTCAGTTGTTGAATAAAATATCATATGAGCATAGCAACAGATATATTTCTTGTATTTATCAGTTTTTTAGGGTATTGAACCATTGGATTGGTTGAAAGTTTAAATCATTTAGCTTTATTTAGAAACCCCTGATATTTTATTCAACTTCTTTCAAAAACTATTCGAAGTGTAAATACTCCCTATGAACATTCCATTAACATTGATTATAGCAATATTCCTTTCACTAAAATATGGTAAAAGAAAAAAATAAATAAATATAGCAACAAGGCAGACAATATTGCCTGTAAACAGATCATTTCCATTTCTAATACTGACAGAACTGTGTTAGCTCTGCATAAAGCATTGCCTTTAGGAGCCTAACAATTGCTATTCAATGTGCAGCATTTAATAGATTTAGTGCAAAAAAAGCCTGTCTTTGATTGGACGGTTGGTGTGGTTCATTGACATACAATTAAAAAAGTTGTTTGTGGACAGATGGAGATGAGCGAGCGTAGTGAGGGCCGAGTGACCATGGACCTGTAAGGCCAAGCATGTGTTGAGTGTGCAGAGAGGCGAAGTGGGGACATAAATTTTGTTAAACAAGCAAAGAAAAGGAGTGAAGCTAGAGCAAAGGTAGCAGAGCAGAGTTTGTCAGAGTAAAGCTTGCTGCAGACAGATTTTGTGTGCGTTTAATCGCTGCCCATCTGTTTCAGTGTACATTTTGACTGGTAACTTGGCGCTTTGCTTTGTGGCACACTTTACGCCATAGGTTTACAAGAAATAGGCCAGTACAAAGTTTCCCAGCATAGGAATTTAGTATGTACATAAGAAAAACAATTAACTGAGTTAATATATATATATATATATATATATTTTACGCATTAAAGTTTCACCTGAAGGCAGTCCAAACATACAGCTCGACATTGAAGTTAAACATATGCTTTCCTTTGTTCTTATTTTCTTCAGGAATTGCAGGTACCCCTGTGATCTTCAACGTGAATGGAGATGCTCCTGGTCGCTATGAAATCTACCAATACCAGATTAGTAATAACACAATGGAATACAAGATCATCGGGCACTGGACAGATCAGCTCTACCTAAATGTATGGATACTCTTATGTTTTTGTATGGTACACACAGCATTCTTTACGTAAGCCGGGCTTAAACAGTGCAATTTTTTGCGCTTTTTGGGGTGATTTTCCAGTTGTGCGAGAATTTTTCAATCAGGCCGACTTCAGCAATTAAACATGTTTGTTTTTCTCCCGACCGTCATGGGCAAATCGCTCACTGGGCATGCGTTAACAAGGAATCTTCTTTTTCCTTCCTCTTCTCAGATGTACACACATAAGCATGGCGGGGGTGCGGGTGAAATGGAGTTCTTTCTGTAAAATTGACAGACTGTAGTAGTCCAAATACGTTATTGCCTTTTCTTTTTGATGGCTTTCAGCACAAAATTGTCAAGGAATCACATCCAGTGAGCTTCATATTCCTCTTCTACTCATTTGGCTTCCGTATAGACAGAGTAGCTCCATCTCACTGCGGAGCTGAGTCCGACGTGGTTTTTAGACGTAGAGTATGAGAAGGTAGATCGCATCAGAGCATCGGGCTGAACATGCATCATGAGCTATGAACCCACTCTTATGTAATTTTTATGTAATTTTGAAAGGGAATTGTTTTTTGTCTTTCACGGCTGCAAGATTTAATCATCAATATAAATATAAATTTGCATTTGAAATAAAGCAAAATGTGTGAAATAGTACATGCATCAAATATTTTTGCTATACTGATTAATTGTAATCCCCTGTATGAACCTGGGTTCTATATAGAAATCCTTGTAAGAAAAGGGTTTGTTTAAATGATACATGTTTGCTGGAACATTTTAGGCCTCATCCTAACTACATAAAACATCTCTCTTTTCTTTTTTTTTTAGACTGAGGAGATGCAGTGGCCTGGTGGAACCCAAGAAGTGCCGTCCTCTATCTGCAGCCAGCCTTGCCGTCCTGGGCAGCGCAAAAAAACAGTGAAGGGGATTCCATGCTGCTGGCACTGTGAGAGTTGTGACGGCTACCAGTATCAGGCAGATACTTACACCTGCAAAATGTGCCGCTTTGATTTGCGGCCAAATGAAAACCACACCGGATGTGTTCCCATTCCGATTGTCAAGCTGGAGTGGAGCTCTCCTTGGGCAGTCATTCCTGTCCTGATTGCAGTATTTGGTATCATAGCTACTTTGCTAGTCGTTGCTACATTTGTTCGCTACAACGATACGCCCATCGTTAAAGCATCTGGTCGAGAACTGAGTTATGTACTATTGACAGGTATCTTTTTGTGCTATGCTACAACTTTTCTCATGATCTCAACGCCGGATGTGTTTGTATGCTCCCTACGCAGGATTTTTCTTGGGCTTGGCATGAGTATAAGCTATGCAGCACTGTTAACCAAGACAAATCGGATATACAGGATTTTTGAGCAAGGCAAAATGTCTGTCAGTGCTCCTCGATTCATCTCTCCAGCCTCTCAGTTAGTCATCACTTTTAGTCTGATATCGGTGCAGCTACTTGGAGTGTGCATCTGGTTTGGGGTTGATCCATCACAAGCTATCATCGACTATGAGGACCAGCGTACAGCCAATCCTGAAATGGCCAGAGGGGTACTAAAATGTGACATATCAGACCTGTCTCTGATCTGTCTGCTTGGATATAGCATGCTTCTGATGGTCACCTGCACAGTTTATGCAATCAAAACTAGAGGAGTTCCTGAAACATTCAATGAGGCCAAGCCTATTGGCTTCACCATGTACACAACCTGCATTGTTTGGCTAGCCTTCATCCCCATCTTTTTTGGAACTTCACAGTCAACAGAGAAGGTAAAGTTTAAAGCTAAATTTTCTAAATGCTTCTTGATGTTTGTCAAATCAGCAAAGGTTACTTGTACATATTCTATGGAAGTTTGTCATTTGGACATGTTATGTTTTCATTGTATCTGATTTTGATGAAAATGCCTGCTTAAATAATTTTTTTGTATTTGATAACTATCATTGTGTTTGTGAATGCCACCACCATTCATCACCAGCTCCACAGAGGGACTTACATGGTTTTTAGAGCAAGATGTCAGGATGATTCATTCACCTGGAATTATCTTTAATACTTGTGTTTCCGTAAATATTGTCTAGTGAGAAACCGAGTCAGCAATCAACTTATATCCTTGCAAACAGGCATAGATGTTGCAATATTGGACAGAACTTTTGTAGTTGCTCGTTGTTGTTGCCAGCTGACAGTTAATCATGCATTACTTAGGACTACAAGTACTAATTCTGACGTTGGAAGCACAGAGAGGAAAGGTTATATTACAACAGCAGCAAAAGCATTAGAATAGGCTTTGCACAGCAACAAACTTAATAGCCTATTGTTATTTACACAAATATATACATATATACATAATTTACCAAAGACACGATTTTTTAGCATAGAAACTAAAACCTTATGTTGCAGGAAAAAAGTTAAAATGTTTGCTTTCTATCCTGCAGAAAACAATGTTGTATATGTTTTTTTTTCTAAAAATCTTCTAATTGCATCAGTTTTCAGCAAACTCTAGCAATCACAAATAGCATTTTAGAATTCACAAACTACCCTATTTTTTTTTTCTGTCAACATTTTCCATATGGGAATGTCAGATAAACATAGAACAGCTCAGACCTAACCAGAAATGCAACAGAAGAGCCCTAAAAATTCATATTGGTTTCTGCCCTCAGCTCTTTACTGTCAATGTCCCAGTGGAGCAGATTGACCATCATGTCCAGAAAGATTTATGTTAGCAACTCCTATGAAAGTGGACAAGGGTCTTGGCTCCCTTTAGAGAGCAACTTCACTCTATACTCCAGAGGACTGGGAATATTGTTTAGGACTCACCCCAGGGCAAAAGTAATCTTCTTGGGAGATTACAACACTTCGCCCTCTATCGCCAAAAAGTGCTCCTGTGTTTTTTGCAGTATGATGACATACATGGATTTATCACTTGCAGCATCTTGTGTCCTCTTTTTTTTTCAGAAATGACAAAAATCTTAATATGGCTTGCATTTGAAGAAGGAAATATTTTTACCAGAATAAAAAAAAAAATCATAGCCCACTAATTTAGGCTGTATAATTTACTCCAATAAATACATTGAGGTTACTGTTAGCCTTTGCTGGTTCACGATGGCATCCATGTCAATCCAATCCTTAATATGTATTAGAATGGCATACAGTTCTAACATATATTATTGTGTGGTCTGAGACACCTTTGAGCTATTCCTATATCAAACAACTAGTTTGTGATGTTTCAAAATGTAATGTCAGTCAGAACCTTTGTCTATTTTCTAAGGAGGATTTTTTTCAGCTGTGGTTTAATATACATTCAATACATTTTTGGTTGTTGACTTTAGAAAGGTTGTAATGAAAAAGGAGGAAACTCAGTTGTACATTTATTCCACCTTTCTTAATCAGATGTACCATGGAAACTTGATTAGCCACATAAACAGAACCTATACAGTCTATAACAGAAATGCTTCTAAATGACAGATAGTCTTTGGTCTGTCTTAACTTTAAGTTTCAAGTCAAATAGAATTCTTAAATTATTTGCTAAATTAGAATAGATATTTTCTTTGAACTTTAGTGAAATTGAGAAGTTTAAATACATTTCAACTTGTAGAGTCTCACATGGAGAAAAAAAGCAGCAATTAGAAAGTTTTGACAGGAAGACATACAGTAAGTCTGGCAGAAGATATTAGAGCTGAATGCAGACGAGCTGCATAAGCAGGAAGCTCTAGGATAGAGACGTCTTTACCACCTGGAGTCTGACACTGCTAGTAGAATGGTTTTGGAAGTTTAAATGCAGTCTTGAATCATTCATGGCTGAGGTGCAGACATGCAGCTGCATCAATACGCTGGATCAGGGACACAAAAGAGGCAATTAGTTGGCAGATAAGTCTTTCAGTTGAATTTATGCCTAGGTTTATTTTCAACCTGGAGAGACTCAAATGCAGAAAAAGCATCAATAATAAAGTGTTATTCTCTCATAGACAAACAAAAGTCTTTGGCACTCAGACGCCATTACAGGATGCCAGAACTGAATGTAGTAGATCTATGTTAGCAGGTAGATTTAGGTTAAGGTGACTAAAAAAGGTCCGCTCTGATTCCAGACGTTTCTACCAAATCAGCTCATATCGCTGCATTGCAATAGTTTTAATAATATTCTGAAGTCTCTGCCTCCAGTGAAAACTCAGTCTCTTACCTTCTCCCACTCTGCCCCCTGATTTACCCCTACACTAGATCTATTAAAGCTAAATGTTGCCAAATTGAGTTACTCCAAAGAAAAAAGATACTTGGCCGATAAGCTTGAGCAGGGTGCAGTCTTACAGTTAAATTTACACCTAGAATTAATTTCCTCAGTGTTTGATTGAATTAGCGTAATAAGTGTAGTTAAGTTTTCATAAGTATTACCATCAGGGTTTTGTGATCGCCTATCCAAAAACATCTAATAAATTTGGTGGTATGATGACGATTATTTTGTATTTGCATTATCCATCTAAATTTTTTTCTGTTGTTGTTGAGATGCTGCTTATGCATCATATTTTATCATAATTTCTCTAACAATGCTTTCTATTTTGTGCAGTGCACAATCCTTCATGCAGCACAAAATCTACACATAATAATGCATCCACCTCATTATTTTACAGTTTGGATGACATTCTCTGACTTACAGGCTTTCTCCTTTTTCATCCAAGAGTTATTCATGTCATTTTGGTCAAACACTTCAGTTTTACTTTAATAAAAGGACAGGACATGTCTTTTGCTTTTTCTTTCCTATTGGCATTAGAAAACTGCAGTCTTGCTTGATACTGTATTTGTGTGTATGTTAAAATGTGCTTTTAAAGAACATCTGGAAAAAACAATGTCTTAAAATTCTTCCTCATTGTCATAACATAAAAAAATTACATCTAATGCAATATCGAACCAATAGAGAAAGAAGTAATGTTATTTAGGTTTTATGCAAGTATGTATATGTTTCTTTATCTTGACTTTTCAGGATATGAATATATTCTCAAATGGAATATTTTTTCTCCCTTTTCATATTCACATTACAGATGTATATCCAGACAACAACACTGACTATCTCTGTCAGCCTCAGTGCATCAGTTTCCCTTGGAATGCTCTATATGCCCAAGGTCTATGTGGTTCTCTTTCATCCAGAGCAGAATGTGCCCAAGCGCAAGCGCAGCCTGAAGGCTGTGGTCACTGCAGCCACAATGTCCAACAAGTTCAACCCCAAGGGAAGCCTGAGGCCAAATGGAGAAGCCAAATCTGAACTCTGTGAAAGTCTGGAAACACAAGGTTCGTAACACACTATCTTTGGTGTCGTAAAGACATAAAACAGGTCAAATACATCTGTATAAAGCGGATTTCAAGCAGAGGCATGTTCCGTGCATAAGTATAGCTGAATGTGAAGTACCTTGGACAGTATTCAAACCCCTTCGCCCTTCTTTCTTACAAAGTAGTACACAATTGTGATGTGCACTTTAAACCAAATATAATTTTTAAGATTTTTACAAGTGAAAATCTAAAAAGTGAGGGATGCATTTGTATTTAGCCCCTCTACTCCAGTAGCTCTAAATAAAGTCCAGCACAATGAATTCCCTTTAAAAAGTCATCTAAGTAGTAACAGGCTGCGTTTAATTTACTTACAGTAATATTCAGCTTAAACAGCATGTGGACAAGCCACACTACACAAGGAAGCAGAAAACACAGCCGCTTACAATTTTTAAAGGCTCTTCATGCCATTCAAGAGCCACAGTCATTTCTATCCAGGAGTTTCTCCACAAAATGTTGATAGTGGTATTATTTATGGGGTAAATCAAGGGATGTCTCTAGATGTCTACATTTGAGAACCCTCGCCAGCAGGAGCTGCTGCCCACTCGCCATGTTTTCTGTGCAAATCCGTCCGTGTAGTTTCAAATTTTCCCAGGTACTCCATGCGGACATAAATTTTGAAACCAAAAATTATATAGACGCTCACAGACGCATAAACCAACCTTTAGAATCACTGATCTCTACTCATTTACTGGATATCCGATTGGCCAAAGAACTGAAGTCACACCATAAGCATGCCAACATTTCGTAATATTCCTAATATCTAAGTAGAGTATTATTATGCTCCGTTATCATACTAATTTTGTTGTAATGGATTTGTCTAATATGTTGTATTACATGATCTATAGTTGTAAATACAGATTAAATTACAGTAGTAGAGAAAATCATTGTTGTTCTATGCTGTACTAGGGAGTACCAATATGGTGGCTGGTGACTTAATTAGTGTAATACCATCGGCTACTTGGATACCCAGTGAATAAACAGAGATCAGTGTTAAGAATAGTATTTCTTTTACCAATGTCAGTATTAATAAGGTTATTTACTTATGCATCCTTCATCTCTTCAGCGACATCCCCTTCAGTGCACATTAATGTTCAAACTGTATTTCGAGTTTTAACCCTTATTGGAATCAAACTTTTTTTATTTTTCACATTGGATCTTTGACATTCCTTGTTTTAAATCTCTGGTAGTAGGTGCTAAAGTGTGATGACAAGAATAAGTTACACACTCCACAATTCTCACATGCATGATAAAATTGCAAGAAAAAGAAATAAGATTATGAGCAAAGAAAATCCAGAAACACATGACGCTTTAAAAACATGATTATTATGGTGTAAAATGTTGGTAATAGTGTTACAGCATAAGCCTGGGGAGGTATCATCAGCATGGTCAAGGTAGTTTGTCCGAGTTGATAGGAAAATGGATGAAAAACAGATAAAATTTAATCAAAAGATCGGAAAGGAGGTTTATCTTCCAGCAGTAGAATATCCCTAAACACACAGCCAGAACTACTATACATTTTTTTAAGAACATTATATTTTCAAATTACCCAACCCAAGCCAAACCTTTAACCTGTTAACAGCTGCTCTTTCAAAGTAACCTTCATCTATTCTGCAAAGTGTCTAAAAGATATAAAGAGCAAGAGACATAAACAACAGTCAAGTTTAATTACAATTGAGTGTTTGTACAACAAATCCTTGTGTTTAGACTCAGGATGGTTGAATACAAGTGCAATGCAGTTTTCAGATTGTTCCTTGTAAAAAAATAAATCCTTCCACAAACAATTAATTACACTCTCCAAGAACTGACATGTTGAATAAAAGATATAGCATGCACACACAGTACTAACTCTTTCCCACGAAATACTTATTTGGAGCCTAATTGGTATTACAAGTACTTTACTCTGTTCCTTCCCATATCTTCTCAATATGCCCCACATTAAAACAAAAAAATCATTCAGCAGGTGCTTATCACTTTATTACAATGCCTTGTGGACATCTCACCAGTGTTGTTTTTTTTACAGCTATCTTAGATTTAGTCTTAGTCATAATCTTTAGGACAAAAACTGTTTTAAGTCTTAGTCATATTTTAGCCATTACAATATGTGATAGTTTTAGTCGGTTTATAGTCGACTAAAATTTAAAAAGATTTTAGTCTAGTTTTAGTCAGTTTAATGTTGCAAAAAATGTTAACCTTTACAATTTAGAACAACAATCAGATTCTTTACCGGACTGACAGCTCTAGCATAAATACCACAATTGCTGGAGAAACAATGCTGCCGTGCAGTTCATCATTGCGCATTGGGCAGAAAACTTTGATTTATAGAATTCAAATAAACTGTTCTATGAATTAATGCCCTACTTTATAAAAAAAGTGTCTCTCAAGAGCTGTGAAAATAACAGATCTAGTTCAACACAGCATCTTGGTTAATATAGTAGATAGAAAAGCCAACAAAATGTACAATAAAGGAATGGTTTTAGACATACAAGGTTAACTTCCGGATCTACTATGAATTATGCATTAAACACAGATCAATCAATCTTCATTTCCCCCCAAAAAGGAAAGAACAAAAACATTCTTCATTCTACTTTGGCAACTTTGACTTTGTTTCTGAGAATTTCCCCTTTATTACCACTGTTCAGGGGTCAAAGTGGATTTAAATTCTAAGGGTTTTGGATATAAACAAAATAACACCCAGAGAACCTACATAATTTCCTTGTAATGCCATGGCAATCCAGACCTAAATTGAATGAATATGCTACCTAAAATGTTGACATATTTAAAGGAAACATGGAAAATGCTTTAATGACAACACCAGGAAACATTTACATCATATTTAATCAGCCACATATCATTTATTAAGTAGGGAGAGCAGGAAGAGACATACTGCTCAGTGTGGAGCATAAAGCGAGTCTGAGCTAAGCTGTGCAAAAACGCATATTTGCACAAGCACAGCTGGAAGATCAGAGTTTGTCAGAGTTGAGTGCGCATTCCGGCTTATTTTCTCCCCTGCCACTGCTGCCATGGTCATTCTGTGGTCATGCAAAACCTGCACCGCTGCACGCCAGGTGGGCTGTATGACCAAACAAGACGCAGCTGCAGCTGATACTGCTTAGCTTGTCTAACAGATTACATCACAATGATGCTTTTTAAACGTCTGACTGACCACCTGCTAATTCTTATTTAGTCTCACACCAATGACTAGTCATGTTTTCGTCATCAAAGATCCATGTTTAGCTCGTCAGTTTTTGTTATCGTCATGAAAAAAGGATCGTGTACGAAATAATTTCGTCATTGTTAACGAAAACAACACTGCATCTCACTTAAACTTTGTTGGAGCTGCAGTCTTGCACACAAGGGACTTATTTAAGAAGGGCTAAGAGCTTTGTATTTCCTGGAAACAAAGGTTTTAGTGAGCACATTTTTTTCCCCATTTAATTTCTGGGGCACTGTACTAAAGTGTTAAAACATTCTCTTGATAAGTTTGAAAATCTACAAAATGATTCAGTAACAAAAGTTGTGTTTTGTACTAATTCAGAAAGGATTTGTTAAATTTAAAGTGTGAGATCATGCAGACAGTATTTACATCATTAATGGGGGTACAAAGATGCCTTGTTAATCAGAATCTTTCAATTCATAAGATATGAGTAGGCAGTCTTAAAGCTACAGTGTGTAACTTTTAGCGACATCTAGCGGTCAGACTGCAGACTGCAGCAACATGAACATCCCCCCCCACCGCTTCTCCCCCCCAACAGTACGGCGAGCGTTACGGGACAAAATGTCTTCCATGACGTCCGCATCATCTACCTTCTCAAGTGATGAGGTTTGTTTACATAGATAATTTTACAGATAGTATTTCATTAGTCTGTGTAGGGTATAGATTTTCATGTAGACTTAAACCGTTATTTTTTCTACATCGTTGTGACGTTTTGGCGATCTCGCAATCGCTAGTTTGTTGGCTCTGCGCTGCCGTAGCGCAAAGATGTCTGCCTCCATGGCTGCGAGACCCGCTCCTATGTAATTATAAATAACGAATTCTAAGGCAACGCAAATATTAAGGTTAAGAGGCTGAGCTCGTAGATGATGATAAATAACATAGGTTATTTATTAAATAACATATATTACATTTCTGACTGTATATCCCTGTAATTATTACACACTGTAGCTTTAATGTAGGGACAGACTTAAATCCAAAAAGTACTCACATTTGGTTTGATGACTGAACGTTCTAGTTTTATGCTTTGACACGCTGTATTGCAAATAGTGACGTGTACTAGGATGACAAAGCCTGTATCCACACTTGCATGGACCGTTTTTGTGTGTCTAAGAACAGAGTTGTTTCATCTCTATTTAATTATAGAACCCATTTGCTGGTGAGGACATTTCCACTTTTGAACTGTGAATCTAACAATTGCTCTTTGTGCTTATATGTCAGACTGTGTTGAGGGAGGGGATCCTTGTGAGGGACTTTAGACTCTCAGGTAATGAGATTAGTTAATGACTTTGCCCTTTTTTTTTTATTTGTGACCATATTTCTTCTCTTAATTTTCACTACCTGTAAAACACTCTTGCCTGCTGAAATGCACACTGTGTTGAATGAGTGTTGGCTATTATGCAGCTCCTGAATAACTCAAGGCAGTGATCACACTCTCAAATACAGCAGAAAAAATAGCTAATGAACATGTCAACATTTTTTCATTATATATCTTTCTAATGAGGTTATTGGCACGAAGCTCACACCAGATGTTGGTACCAGCCCAAGTAATTCGCACATACAGGAAAATATACTCAAATAACTCAATGAGTTCATAAATTAAACTAGAAGAGGAAATTAATATTGTGTTTGTCTACTGATATCTATTAATCTTTTGGTAAACATGTAAGATGTCCCAAGTGTAGATGAATTACACACACTGCTCAGATGGGATTTTGACATATTCTCCGACACGATTAACTTCAAATAAAGAAAGTTCCAAGGGGCTTCTCTATGGAAGCTTATCTTCAGTTCCTTGATTTGGCCTGGCCGTTCTAGCACCCTTATTCTTGTTCTCTCAAAACAAAACCAATTAAGTTGTTGTGTGATTGGGATTATTTTCATGCTGAAAAATCCACCATCTTCTCATCTTCAGATTCAGTAATTTATTTCCATTATTTAATTTTGCAGTTAAAAGGTCTTCTATTAACATGTGCTAAAAAAACAAATACACAGCATGAGTATCTTACCACACATTAGTATTGTTTCTTTGAAATTATATATATAATTATCTATCCTGAGTCCTAGGCCTATAGGCCATAAGTTGGTAAAAAACTTTGGATATTAACTGCCACCAATAATAAGCAATACAATTTAAATACTGACAGATTGCAGTTGTTTTCTTGGCTCTCTGAATGTTGAGGCGTCTTTCCCTCATGTAGTTCTTTACATCCAATTCAGAGACTAATTTATTTTAATTTCTCAGAATGTTACTTGGATTGTTACCAACAAAAAAATTGAATTTCAGCTCAATGGAAAAGAAAAACATTGATGCACTGGAAACGCATTTCCTCACTGTATGTGGCCAACACACATGAGCATGAAAGGACAATATATGTGTATGTTTCTCTACAATGGCCACTCAGCATGATAAACCCAGTTAATGTGATGACACCACTTTTCTGAGAGCAGGAGACAAGCGATAGCCATGTTTCCCATGTAATTTGTTTCTGTGCTGACAAAAAAATGAATCACAATAACAGTGAAAAAGAAGACGAATAGGTCTGCCAGCTGCATTTTTTTCTGAACCGTTTATTCTTAATCTTGGCCCCACAGCACATAAATATTTAAATAAGGTTCATTTATCAATGCTTCTCCAGGATGAGATGCTTTGGATGAAATGGCAAAAATACCGCCTCCTATTCCAATCCCACACATGGCTCTGACAAATATAGAGAAGGGTTTACTATAAAGGGTCCTTCAATTTTTGTCCCCACTCGAACTTTCAGCTATTCACTGATTTTGATTCCCCAGATTACCATAACTGAGCATGGTCTTTGTGGTTGGCTTATTAAAACAAACATGGAACATCCAATAACACTTGCACATAAACCATATGAAAGGCATCACACCTGAAGAGCTCCGGAATGTATGGTAGCTCTGAGCAGATTTCTAAGGGAAATAATCTAAATTATAGTTATATAAATAAGTATAGCTTTTATCTGTTAATAATGGTTAGAGTCCAATATAACACTTCCTATGGCTTCAAAATAACTGTAAATTTTTAAACTACAAATTTAATGACTGCTGCATGCTTGCTTGGTGCATAAAGACCTCACAAATCTTTGCATGCAGTGAAGAACTGGTAATTGAATGGCTGCTGCATTTAATGTTACTGTACTGCTGTGATCTGCCATTTGACCCCTTATTTCCTCCATTTATGGTAAAAATGCTATATTCACAAAATGCAAGGCGAAATTTGTTACCTTTGCAAATTGTAACATATGGGGTTATGCTTAAATTGGTTTTGACAAATCCAACATCTTTACTTCTTCTTTTTTTATATTTATAATTACTTTATATTTACTACAGTATGTAACCATGACCGATATGTTAAAGTGTAACCAACCCCTCTCTTCTAAGAGGGGCCTTCGCCATTTCCTATCTGAAACAATCTCTAAGGCTGATGTAGATCAATTAAAATCTAAATCTGACAGTATTTGTGTTAAGCTTTGTATTTTCCTTTTTAGCATTTGCAGATTATGTTTGGATTTTTGGGGGTTAGTTTGGCAGCATGGTATAGGGATAGGGATGGGAATTCATAACATATTCCACATTACAGTTGTTATAGACAAGTTTCCCAGCCAGAGCTATGTGCAGCCATTTTTATTGGTGTCTGCCAAGTAAAACTTGGTGAAACTAGTACGGCCACATTCAGGGATGTGCCATGCAGGATAAGCAGCTTATTAAAGAAAGAGAAAAAAATTACCAGATCCACCTGCTTTTCACTTAGTTTACAAGTAACCCATGTGATAGATGAGCTTAAATAGCGTTGTTGGCTGACGTCTCTGAGCCATATAAGTATGTTACAGTTCAAGTAGACCTGCGGCCCACTGGCCCTTCTCTGTGTCTTTAAGTGTGTGTCTATGTGCACATGTATGAACAATAACAATGGCAAGAAACAGTGCTATGAATGAACAGAGATGTTTTTTTGTTTTTTGTTTTTTGTTTTTTCAAAATCATGTTGGGGTGATAGGGTATATTTCCTCTGCCAATAGGGCAGCACGTGCATGGTTTCCTCAAGCTTGGTCTGGATATGCAGGTGCAGCTCATACTCTCCACCTCTACTTCCTCCATAACAGCCGCCCTAGCGTTATGTAGAAATTATGCAGACATTGGCTTGATTGAACATCTGCCTTCACATAGAACAAACTGTGTTTTGATAAGCGGTGCAATTTAAAAGGTATTGAGAAGCTTTTCATGTTGTTCTGGCATTTCTGTCCACCACAATGGTACGAAAATATGTTGCTGTTTTTAACATTAGGCCATTTTATCTTATTGTTCCCTCAGTTTAATATTAAAGCAGGGTGAGAAATTGATAAACCACTTTCTTTTATGAGAAATAAATTAGAATGCACCTATTTTAGACCCATTGCTACCCATTGTTAATAAATGCTGACTTTATTAGACCTTGTTGGTGGAAGTAAACTGGAATCTTATGAATCCTGTCTTAAATTATTTATCTTTGATTGTATGTCTGACATATTGATCTGGCCTATTTTCCTAACAGGTTCATATTAACAGTTTCTTTTACATAGTTTTCTCACCTGTTGCTAGCAGCTAAGATTGCAGAAATCCTTTCTGATTGGCTAGATATATGCTGAGATACTTTAAAAGTATTTTCATTTCCTCAATTGATATACACACGTTTGTCACTGTTGGATTAACATGAACTTAGACAATTAAGTGAACAGATAGTGGTATAAATTAAGACTACTGATAATGACTCAAATACTGCTACTATTACGATTAGAAATAATATTAGTAAACATTTAGGAAAATATATTTGTCAGGTACAATTTGTGTCTATATGTAATGTCCTAAACTAAATTCTTTCTTTCATTTTTATCAGAGATTCGTTTGCACATTTGGTTGGGGGAAAAATCTCCAGCAGTATAACCAATTTAAAAATTTCTATTTGCTTATGTTAGACTTTTTTTTATGAAAATGCAGTTTTGCAATAACACCCATGTTATCAGAATTAGTTCCACCTGTGCTTGGTTAATGAAGGCATCTATAAATAGTGTCTGGTATCAATCTGTCTCCCCATGATGTGGATTTTTAAAGTGTACCCTCCCTCGCCTATTTGAGGATTATCCATTTCATTTAATTTTTAACCCTTTGCTTTTCTCAAACATTTTCATTTACAGTGTTGGCCTCGAAGCAGACATACATAAGCTACAGCAACCATGCCATCTAAGACAGACACAAACTGAATGAGGGAAGCAAAGGCCTGCCATGGGAGGTATCACCTTTTTTTAGGACGTCACTCAATTTTGGATCAAGAACGTTCAAGCTTCTGCAACTTGGAGAACTTAGAAGAATCCTGGAAATTATTTACTTGGATGCCATATTTTTTGAAGATTTAAGGCTTGAATGCTGAATTGATAGTTAACCAGTATATTACAGAATTAAGATGGGAGTTGTAAGAGATCTTGAATATGTAGGAAATGTCCTCCCACACTTTTTAAGACAAAAGGGAGATTTGAGTGTTGACATTTTTGAAACAGAGAGGAAAAGGTTTAGCATGTTGTTTTCTCCCGAAGTGTATAGCACACATTTCTTTATAAAGCTGAATCAGAGTTTTATTTTTTTTTTTTTTTTTTTTTTTTTTGTTTTAATTTTTTTTTTTTTTTTTTTTTTTTTTTTTACCAAACTCTGTTGAATCATGAATATTGAATCATAAAAAACATGGTATTTTTGGTTACAGAAATCTGTGCAGTTGAAAGTTGCAGTTCTCTTCATGCCTTACAACAAAAAACTCAGTAATTCTCCATGAACTAAACACATGTGAAAAGCATAATAATGAAGCAGCGGATGAGCCCAGTTTGGTTAACTTTTCATGACAACAATGACTTCACGATGATCATCTCGGGAATCCTTCTGTACAGTCCCAAAGCATGCCAATTGGAACATCCCGTGTGCCGTGCTGTGTTGTCAATGTCTTTGGAATGCAACATTTTCACATCTGTTATTCACAGTGAAGATGCCATTTTGATCTGTTACCTGTTAGGTAACCTTCTGCCGGACAAAAGAACAATCCCATACAAAGGGTTGCCAAACTGAAATGCAATTACATATTTTAATATCACCATCCATACATTTTGGCAGACTTCCACATTTTCATCATAAATCAGTTGGTCCTTATTTATCTTGCACAGACAGAAACTCTTGACAGAACCAGGTTTTTGAGGTGGAATCTATTTCTGTACCTGTTTTTTCCTCAGTTAAGGATTTCTTGACTGTTTTAAGAAATAGTCACAACCCTTATCTCCGTGGAACAGAAATAGTTTAATTTAGACATCAGACAGTTCTCTGTACCTACATGATGGATAAATCAAAATGGTTGGTTTGTTATCATTATAAACCCTAATATCAGTGCTTTGCACATGTTTTGAAACATAAACCTAATGATGGGTTGTAGTTGTGAAAAATAATGAATAGACCAGCATTAAATAATATTGGTTTTGTTTTGGAATATTTTGCTGTCATTCTTCTTTATAATGGCCATTAGGGCTAAACAATCAGTGACATCTCAGCAATAGCTGGAGGCAAATGGGGTTTACATAAGTTGACAACTCAGTAGTAATGTCAGTTTAGAGATATTTAGATCTTTCATGCTCAAAAATAACAAAAAAAAAATCAAACAAGAAAAACACTTTTTCATATGCATAATCACTTGAGACTTTCAAAGGTTTCCATAGTCCTTGAACATCTCTACATTTTGTTGCGTTTTCACACTGAATTTACAAATCAATGTATTATTAAAAAATATTGTTTATATGTAGTTAAGAGATCCTTTTAAAGCAACAAAAGATGGTGCAAATGAAAAAAAACCCCAGAATAAACTATAAATCAAGCATATGTGAATATAATTGTATTAGTTTAAGTCTTTTCCAGCTTTTATGTTTTCCCTGTCTTGCACTTTTCTCTACTACTCTTTTATTTTCTGCTAGATAATGGTATTTTTATGTTTTACAGCAGATAAAAAATTATAGCCTTGGACTATTTGGACCAGACCAACTTCTTTTTTGGGTTTGCTGTGTCTTCCATTTGTTCAAACTGCAAACATGAATTATGGCAACCTTTCAACAGTGTCTTTCTACTTGCCACTCTTAAGCACAGGCCAGATTTAAGAAAGTATAATAGTGGCCTTGTCAACATAAATTCTATACCTTAGCTGTGGATCTACACAGCTCATCCGCAGTTACCATGGGCCTCCAAGGAGCTTCTTTAAATAATACTCTCTTCACTCTGTCTGTCAGTTTTGATTAAATGCTTTCTAATTTCACACACTTTAAACTTCCTGGCAGCTTTAGTCCTGACCTACCTGGTTTGGTCTCTAGTAATAATACTATTCCTGTGACAAACCTCAGGCCTTCATAGATGATATGTATGCTGATTATAAATTACATATCCACACCACAATAGGGTTTGTAACACTAAAAATATACACATTTTTTTTTTAGATATTGACAATTACCCGTTAGCTTGTTTTGGTCCACCACATGAAATTTCACGGAAAAAGACATTGAGGTAATAGTAACAAAGTATATTAAACTACAAGGGTATGTATACTTTTGAGAGGCCAAGTAAATCCATTGATAGCAGTCTGCCTCTAAGATGAAATATATAATCCAAAAAAAGTCTTTGTACCTCCACATTACATTTTAAATCTATTTTTTTTAGCATTTCTGCCAACTAGCAATAACGAATTATCAAAATTCACTATCAATATTCTAAGATTATATGCAACATATATGCGTGATAAATAAGGGCCAGTGCCTTCATCCTGTGCCTCATACCGACTTCTCCTGCCATTCATTTTCTCACTGTCATGGTGTTCAGTGTATTCTGTTTCAGCGTAATTCAAAACTGGACGTGTACAATTTATAGTTATGTGCAAACTGCATTTCTGTCTTCAGTCTGGAGTACTGTATTTGTCATTAATAGTAAATCTTGAATTTGTTTCATTAAATGTTATCTCCAGCAATGCAAAAGTCTGTATGTTGCATGTCAGAGCTCATATGTCACACAGTTTGGGAGAAAGGCGTAATGTTCAAAAGGAAAAGTGCTGCAAATGATTCCAATTTAGGATTTTGATAAGTGATTTACGTAGGTACAATAAGTCTACGGTAATGCAGCAATGGTTTTCTAATTTTTTTGATCGAGTATTGTTTGTGGAATTGTTTGTGTTTGTGAAGATCAATAATTTAGTTTTCTTTTGCCACTGATACTTTTTTTTCTTTCTACAACACTGTGTGTGTTGTAAAATACAATATGTAAGTGCTGACTGAAATTAAATGGTAAGTTAATGTATGTTATTAAAATGGATTGATCATTTCTGCTTTATGTACTTACATATTAAAAAATATCTAAAAGTTACAGTGCCTGAATATTTATGAATTATCTGTATGAAAAGAAAAATAAATATGTGAAGCATGTTCATTTTTATACAATATGTTTCTAATAAAAGAATGTTTTGCTAATACTGATTCTGTTTCTTTGTAAAAGTTATGTTGGCAAAATAACATTGTTCACATAGGTAGACACATGTCAGAGTGCTGTCAGGTTTTGAATTTTACAGGAACACCACAAAGATGAATATATATCCAAATGAGAGGAATTATTTGAGCCAGTATACTTTTTGTATAAAGAGGGACTGCCTTTATTATTCATCTTATTTTGTGTAATGCATCACACAATAGAACCTCATCACAGTACTGCCACTATTATACTTGAGAACTGTAACGTTGCTCTTCGATACATACTCATCTTAATTTCAACCATAAACTGTTCTTTCCTCTGAAGTCAGAGTAGAAGAAACAGTCTGTGTGCCAAAATCATCCAGCCTTTATCCTTCCCACCACTTAGGACAGAACTGCAGTACATACAAATTTAAACTACACATACATTATGTTGGGCATAAGGTTTCTGTTCTGCAACCAGAGGGTTGACATTTTTAATCCCAGCTTCATCTGTCTCAGTAGTTGCCAACTAACTGGGTCAGTGGGGCCTGGTGGTGCCTGTGTAAGAGCTTCTGTAAGTGTTGCCAAAGGTAGTTTTGTTAACTTACACACAGAACGAAAGCCTAATATTCTCAGAAGCAAGGAGATTGCATTTGCTCTGATTATTGAGACGCTGTCGGATAGGGCTAAGGTTAGTGGGGGAGTCATAGTCAGTCCAGGGGTCATGCAAAGAGAAGCAGTCCATGGGGGAGAGTTTTTCAGAACTGCTAGATGAGAGGGGAATGTAAAACCAAGGCAAGAGAATCAGTATCAGGAGGCACAGTAACAGGGCAGAGGTTTCTAGAGGGACAGAGGAGGCAGATCGGAGGAGCGGGTTTGCGTCATACGCAGTGTTGGGCACGTTACTTTGAAAAAATAATTAGTTATAGTTACTAGTTACTTCTTCCAAAAAGTAACTGAGTTAGTAAACTGAGTTGCTCCACAATAAAAGTAACTAGTCACTAGTAAAAGTAACTATTGTGTTAAAATGAGAAGGATTTTTTTCCCCTTGGAAGAAGCTGTTGCGCCCCGGGGGCCTCCTCATCGGTTCTTTTCTGGGAGTAAGTTATATACTACTCTTAACTCAAACTAGGTAAAACCATATAAAAAAGGACTATAAAAACAGGAGTAAAAAATTACAGAGTTTATTCCAGATCAGGTCATTACAGGACAGAGAAAAATGCTTAGAGCTTGCACAGCTGTGGTCTCAAAAATCACGTCCGCGAGCGTCCGGCAAAGTTTGAGCCCCGATGAAGGTCATCACCTGCTTCTTATAGCTCATGGGTCTATGTGTTGCATCATGTTGATGTTGAGATGGCCGTATCAGAAACTGACACGCCATCCATGTCTTGAACTCCATGCAGCTTGCTTCTATGCTTCAGGGTTGAAGATACAGTAGCTCTCCTATCAGACCGGCTCCATGATGTGCCCATATCCTGTATATTCTTAAAGACACGAAGGCTGTTCCGATTAGATGACCTCCGTACACACTGTGACATCCACAATGTGAAGGAAGGCATTCTGCTCTGTCTAATCTGACTAACAAAATAACAATGCACATGATGTATAAAAGAATAAACCTAACAATTGCTTTTGCGTTTCTCACCCTCACCACCCGGCCCCCACCTTCTCGCCGTGTGTTTCAAAAGCCAGCTGAATAGAGTGGATGACAGAGACAAGTACCTGCAGAGAGTTTTGCATTTATTGCAACTCAACGTAAATGACATCAGGGGGGAACGCTATCT